CCCACATTGTTGGATAAGAGGATTAGAAAACACCACATAAAGTGGCCTTGCAGGGGGCTGCTTTGTACCTGCTCTGGGCCTTGTCTGGCAAAGCCCAATTTCACAGCAGAGCCCATTCAGAGCCCACGCCAAGATTGTTCACGTGCATTGGCCTTTTGACGAGCCAAGGGGTCACAGTTTCACATTCACTTCATTCCCAAGGCACTGATATTTTCCTTTTGGGATTGGGGMTGGTGGGGACATGGGGCCTTTTTGAGTCTAAACTCAGTTTGCATTYAAAGCTGGAGTTGGATTGGGGTGGATTGGCAAAGGGTTGGGTTCACTTTCTCTGCTTTGCAGTGGGTGAAGAGCTCAGGTGTGATTTCCCATCCTTAACTCTTCTGAGTTTCAAGATTTCAAGTGGAAACCTTTTTGTCTGAAAATCATAGATGTGAATCCAGGCTTGGCAGGTCCACTTGCAGAGCTGTAATGAGAAACTCAAGTTCAGGGGAAACATCTTTGGACCTTACTGGTCAAAGAGGGAATTTTTCAGATGAGATCCCAGGTTTATGCTGCTGCTGGAATGTGCTCACTCCTTTTGTCCCCATCCTTTTGTCACCCATCCTGGTCGTGTCCCCATCCAGCCTGAGCTGCATGCTGAGGGGATTGCTTGAGCTTCTTCATTTCACCTTCTCAAAAGGTGTTTTCAGGAACAGGTTTGACTCTCCCCAGTTCTGCATTCTTTAGGAAAAGACCAAAACCAGGATGCTTTTTGGGATGGTAGGGAATTAATTGAAATAAAAATGATTTAGGTGGTGATTGTCTGCTTGGCCCCTCACTGAATTTCAGAACTCTAAAGGTTTTTAACGTGGAACATCTGTGGTTGTTCCATGTACCCACAGCCTCCTGTGGTTTTTTGTCCMCAGGGACACGTGTGACAATCGCATGACCTGCTCCACCAGCTCTGCCTCCAGCCTGGACACCAGTGCCCAGTTCCAGGAGAGCAATGGGCAAACRCAGAGCTCCAGATGGGATGAACAACAGAAAGTGTTTGCCCTGGAGCAGCTGTGTGGGGTCTTCAGAGTGGATCTGGGACAAATGAGATCCCTTCGCCTCTTCTTCAGGTACTGGGTGCTTGTGTGTGAATTGTGAGCTGTGAATGAATTGTGAGCTGTGAATAAATTGTGAGCTCTGTGTGAATTGTACGTGAATTGTACATGAATTGTATGTGAATTGTGAGCTGGGCGTGAATTGTGAACTCTGTGTGAATTGTGTGTTCTGTGTGAACTGTACGTGAATTGTACATGAATTGTATGTGAATTGTGAGCTGTGTGTGAATTGTACATGAATTGTGAATTCTGTGTGAATTGTGAGCTCTGTGTGAATTGTACATGAATTGTGAGTTCTGTGTGAACTGTACATGAATTGTACATGAATTGTACATGAATTGTGAGCTCTGTGTGAATTGTACATGAATTGTACATGAATTGTGAGTTCTGTGTGAACTGTACACGAATTGTGAGCTGTGTGTGAACTGTACATGAATTGTGAGTTCTGTGTGAACTGTACATGAATTGTACATGAATTGTACATGAATTGTGAGCT